TGAAAATGAGAGGTTTGTTATTTCAAGTAAAATATTCCAATTTTTTTTTTCAGTTTGGCACAATGTATTTATAGGATGAATCACAATACTCTTCTTACAAATTATTCTACCATAACAATCAACTCAAGCAGAAAGAGAAAATTAAATCAAATATAAATATGTGAAAATTGTATTTTACCCAGAATGAGAGGACTATTAGCCCTTCCCTTTGCAAGGTAACAAGGGATCTTTAGTGATCACAAGTAGCCAACACTTCAGTCTTACATTTCAGCTGAAAGATACCTTGGAAAAACAGATTAAACTGAATTACTATACCCCAGTGCATGTTTATGAAGTGCTCAAATAGGAGGCAGGCATCTGTTTTACAGCTAAACTCAGACAATTTAGTTATGTATTTTTCCATATGAGTAAAACTGATTCAATTAAAGCAGTAACCACCTAAGATAATTCTCTGCAGTATATATCTTTTAGCAGCTTATGATGTGACTTGACAATATTCTTGCAGATGAAAGCACTTACTACTGCAGACCTCTAAAAATACAGTTCCTTCTTGCAATGAATAGGCAGCATGGGATTTCTCATCGTGATAATGATGAGATTCTGTCTAAAAGTAACAAATCTAAATTAAAGCACTGTATCAGAATTCAAAAATGGGGTTTCAACAACTGTGAAACATATCACAAAATTACTTACAGTGACTTCTGCAATCCATCTCAGAAGTGCTGAAGGAAACAAGTATGACTGTTTATGAAGCAGATGATATTTCAAGAAAATCTAATTTAAAAAAATGAAAACATACCAACTGACAGAAATGAATAGCCAATGGTAAACGTTATCATTTTGAACAGAATGTTTCTTATGAAATACAGCATGTGTGTAAACCATTAATTTTGCTTTCATCGCAGCCAGCTTAGGAAAGAATTGCAGATTGCTTTATAAAAAATATGATCCCTGTCATAAAGTAAACTAAATAACAACATAGTTTCACAGTTACAGAAGATCTTCCTGCCAAGGATGAAGATAATCATAAAGCTCCTCACATGCATTATCGAATTAAGCCCAATCACATCTCTACAAGGGCAGTTAGTTGTTATAGTATTCTCTGCGTACATGGTCAAACAAGAACAAGTAGGTTTACAACTCAGAGTTCACTGTGAGTTAGTGAGTTGCTAGGAATACCATCCTGGAGTCCTGACTCCCTTGTTTTTGTGCCTCACAGCTGGATCATTAAACTATTCTATTGTATGGAATCCACTCAAATGCAGACACATAAGAAATACGAACCAACTCAGATGTTCTGAAAGTTACAGCAAGGCTTTCATAAATAAGAACTAACAATATAGACAATCAATAAAGAGGGAATTAATGGAGTCCTGATCTCCTTTCCCATTTCATGTCCTTTGTACTGTGGAAGTGTGACATAGTCCTCCATTAACAATTCCAAACATGCTGTGAAGGGATAGTCTGCCATACAATTAGGAATATACAGTTTTTAATACTATTATTCATTCAATTTCTTAATGTTAAAAGCTAAATGTTTTTGCTAGACTCTTTTTTTTTCTATCAGGCTTCAAAAGTTTATATAAAGCAGACAAGTACCCTCAACTCCATGCTACATGGGGACAGTGAGCCAACGAAGCAAAATGACATAACGATCACCTCCAGCCACTGCCAGTGCTGGGAATGAACCAAAGGTTCAAGAATCTTTAGGTAGAAGAGATAAAAATGTAAACACAAAAGAGAGGCTTTACACATCCATGCAGGTAAAAAAATAAATTCATAAAGGACAAACAAATTAGAATTTAAAGCCAAAAAAAAAAAAAAAAGCAGCATGTTGGTACCTCTAAATTCAGAGAAAGACCATTCAATGGTGAATAACACAGCAATTACAGCAATTAAAGCTGGTGCTGAATTTGATGCATACACCCTTAGCATGGTGGACATAAGAGGGTGAAATGAGAAGGTTGTTTTTTATCCACTACAAATGCAAATCTCAGAAGTCTCAAATGGTTTTGAACATAATAAGCTGTTAGTCTCATTCCATCTGCTCCACAGGCTTTACCTAAACACTCTATGCCACTTTATCTTGGTTTTCCAAGTTATACTTCCCCTGTGTTTCTTTCACTCTTTCACTTAAATTTCATTCAATTTAAAACATTAGTGTGGCATCAGCTATTAAAGTTTCCTTTTTGTTTGATTCTGTTATGTTTTATACTTTTTATAGTCCCCTTATCTCTTTACATCAAGTTCTTCTGCTTCTTTAAAAAAATATACAGATACTCAGGTTGCTATTTTTAAAGATGTTTACAGATGTTAGGAACATAAGTCATACTGGCAATCATCAAGCACTAGGCATTTAAGCCTTTTCAGATTCTCTGAAAATCTTATCCTTCAACTTTCAAATGTCCTGACAAGTCACCACACTGACCTCTTTTAAAAACATGAATACACCATGCTTCCCCAATTCCACATGCACACAGTGAATAGAAAGCAATCACCCCAGCCTTTTGTAAAGCAAGGTGGTATACCTTAAAGGACATACTCTGTTCTTCTATGTTTAAAATAAAAAAATTAGAGCGTTTTCTAAAGTTTCCCTTTCACTAACATCCCAAATAAAGGAAAAAGAAAACACATACACAAAATACACAAAAGCTGTTATCAGCCTTTACCACAAAAATATAGTTAGACTTGTGAAATAAAGAAGGTATATTAAGCGAGCAAATACATATATTTACTTGCACTCGTAACTCAACCAGAGCTAGTAGAAGGAACAGTTGTCTGCAGAAATACCAGGTCTCAGTGCAACAAGTACTTCTGAGCTGTAACATATTTTTGCTGCAATAATAAAAAGTCAGGCTGTCTAAATAATTGAATACCAGTAGTCCCATAGTAATTTTGCTCTAAGAATTATCATCTCTTCCAAATTCTCCTATAGACTTCTCTAGTACGTTGCTGACTTTTTACTCTGTCTATATATAAGCTAAAAAGATCATTTCCAGAACTTCATTTTAGCTCAGAGTAGTATTCCACAGCCAGTAGCTTTTTACCAATTTAGAATTGTACTCCCTTTCATTTTGGGAACTGTATAATATTCTGCATTTAACATCCAAAAAGTTAAGCCTTGCTATGTTAACCACGTAATCCCAAAGTAGCACATTAGGGATTGACAGTGATCAGTAGTATACCAGTTTAGCCATTTTAGTCATTTTCCCATTTAGTCATTTTACCTATTTCTTTGCCTTGTGGTCCCTTTTGAGTGATATTTTAGTTATCTCCACTTCACACATCTGGATTATATCTCAATTTGTCCACAGTGCTACACATTCTGAAGTGAGAGGTTTTGTATATGTGTTACCATATTTGAAATGTACATTAGAAAAGAAGTAATAATGCATACTCACACATCATAATTTCCCTTTAAGGCCTCAAACCTGTTCTGAGTGGTAATCATGCCAATTTTACTGAAAGGTATTTCGAAGCATAAAGCGATTATGGGACTTAAAGTCACTTGGGAATTCTGTAACAAAATGGAACCAAACTCAAATACCCCATGGCATCCATCTGCTAGGGAAAACGCAGCACTAACAGGACACTCATGCTTTCCTATAGTGTCAGCTGGAAAAAGAGTAGGACAGTCCACGGCACCTCACATGGCACCAAGGACTTCTGTTATTCATAGTTGTGCAAAAAGTAAGGTGCATACTTCTGTTTATGAACTGGAATCTCTTTCTAGATCTCCTAAGCCAACTCTGTTTTATTAAATAGGTAACACTGTTTCCAAAATTAAGATAATTTTTCATCATTCAGGTTAGTATTTGGAACTTAGACTTCCTCATTTGCAGTAGAAATCTTCTAGAAATGAAAGCCGACTGAGAAACAGCCTTTTCTGGTCATTACAATACCAGAAGGTGCCCAGCCAATCTGAAGTCTTCAGAGACATTTTTTGGCAACAGAAATTTTTCAATTATATCTCCTGGAGCTTTATACATTTCAAACGCTTCTCTTGTTCTGTTGAATTTCTAATAGATATTGCAAGCCTTTGGCTCAGTGTCCAGAATCCTCGTGCCAAATTTGACTCTGAAAGAATCTCAGGTTTAGCTGTTTAAGATGATAATGTAAACACAAGTTCTTTGCTTGTTTTTTTTCTGTTTAGACTCATGTAATTCAGGTGGATCGAAACAAAACATAGAAATCAATGGTCAAATGAAAATAGAAAACATCATAGATTTTAATTCTTCATGGAATCTTGTTTGTACAGCTCTGCTTAACGTAGGACCCATTTACCATACAGTGGTAACATCTCTATTTCAACTGGTTGACCAGTTTAGGGACATTTTGTAGCTTGGGTTCCAATCAGAACCTCACTGTTCAAATGAGAATTTCAGGTGTTTTCGGAGTATCCCCTGTGCATAAACATGTTGAAGGTAGCCTTCTCAGCCTACAACGATTTATGTTAGCAACCCCATGGAACCACTCCAACTCCCTTCTAATCAGTCCTGGTTCCACCAGCTACCAGTGATACATCATCCTTTACTTTACACAACATAACCTTGTCCATTTTGGAAATTATCTTCTCTAGATTTTTTTTTAATCTCAAATTCTTGCAGTAGCTATACTTTGAAACATCGTTGTGTGTCTCGGTAATTTATATTCTCAGTTAGCTTCCTTAGTAAGACAAGTGCCAGTTATATCAATTATATCTTAATTAACAATAATGTACGTGAGCAGAATTATGCAATCTTCACTATTATGTTCGCAGTACTGTTATGACACGGCATCATTACTGCACATAGAAACAACTTGCAGGACTCCTGCCTACCAATATAAAATTAGCTTTCAAGATTTAAGTGTGTATGATGTTAGAAAATATTTCCCTTACAGTAAATTTCTTCTGCAGTGTAGCACTAATTCATTCTTAAAGAATAACATTTTATCCTGTGAAGCAGAATGGATATTATTTAGAGGAAAACAAAAGAGAGAAAGAAGTAGCACATCTTTACCCTCCGCACATCTTTGCCAAATGTTTCGCTGTAGCTAGTGCCCAGAATTTCAAATTGTACATAGGGGTTGGCACCATCTTCTCTGAACTCCATAACACCAGTAAGCCCAGTTATATGACCCTGAGGAAATAAGTTTCAGAAATTTAGAACAGAACAAATTTGCCTTTATAAAGACTTCTCTTCATTAAAGGTATGCCAAATTTGAAAATTTTTACAGGGAACTTAAATGTGGCAATTACATGTTCTTCAATAGTTCAAACAGTGACAGACAAAAGAGTTTGGGTTGGTTTGGGGTTGGTTTTTTTTTTAGAAAATTACTTTAGTACTAACATCCACTGTATATTGTGGAAAAAAGCCATCAGGTCTTCATCATCCACAGAGACAGACTCCAAAGAAAAGGAGAAGGACCTAGGTGGACCGTAAGACAACATCCCTTTCAGAGTAACCGAGGGCAGCAGGTTCAGCCATGGAGTTGAATATAAAGGCATGAACTCCAAGTTCAAAAAAAAAGTATGCCTGCTGTACTCCCAGAGGAGGCACGAGGAAAAGATAAAATTTTAAGTATTATTAAAACCTCTTTGTGAATATATTCCAGAGTTTGACTTTGAGTTTTTAGCAAAGAAACTTGAAATTACACTAAACTTTGAATTAATTTAACAACAAAGGATGGCATCATTAGGACTGGTCAGAGCATAACGTAACACTTGATCAGATTGCATCATTTTACTAGAGAAAACAATTCCAGCAACATATATGGGGAAACAAGGCTTTTTTTTCCCCTGAATAATTACTGAAGTTAGTACAGTAAAAAAATGAGTACTTTTTCCACTAGTATTTGTGCTCGAATTACTTTCATACAAGATGTTACCATGCATCTGCGAAGCCACAGTACTGTCCATATTTGAGAAATTCAACATGTTGCAAGCCAGTGTAACTGTTAGTGACAACACAGCTAAATCAGATCCCTTTTGCTCTGGGCTACTACAGTACATAAATAGATACTTACCAATGCTCAGCTAACTTAAGAAGCTAGTTGAGCTGTAGTAAATGGAACATAAATCTTAAACCTTATTGGTGGTTGGCCCCTCGAGCTCTCTAAGTTCTTCTCTTGGGGAAATTATTATGATGCATACACACATCAATTTGTATGACTATTCCTAATCACACTACTTCCACAGAAGGCAGCTATGAGAACAACAGAAGTAGAACACACACCACTGGAGCAATGTTGCAGTGTGTGTGTAATTTGTTTGTAATAAATAACCTGCTTGTTTCATAGCTGTAGATCATTCTTGGTAGTTCTAAATCACTTGTTTGTAATAAATCAAAATTGAATAGAGGTCAAAACATCTTCAAAGGCTAATCTCAGTAGACATGAAGAACTCTTTCAATTGCTCACACAATTGTGGTTTGTCTATTCTCACCTTCTTTATAGTCTCTAGCATGGATCGTCCTCCATTCCAAGGTTTGGTGGATTTCCTCATGCAGTTCAGACTTGCCATGCTGTGCCATTTCCTGTCCTCCAGTTTTCTGTGGAAAGCATTGGCCAGCATAAGCACACTGTCATACAGGTACAGGTTGGAAACCTGCAAACAATAATAAGAATGAGCCTCTTTGTTTATCTGAGCATCCTTTCGAAGAAACTGTGAAAACTGGCTAACAAATAAACCAAAAGAAGACATAAGTAGAAACTAAAAGTTGGATATATTTGATGTGTTCAACAGTCAAGGCAATTCAGACAAATATCATTGCTCACTCCTACCTTCTTTCCTGCTTGCCACCTGGGCCCTTCTGGCCAAGGGACACTGGCACACTTGCATTGCCTATGCATTTCCTACAGCACTGCAATGCAGTGCAGTGCTGTAAAGACGTACGCAAGCACAGTTCAAATATGAACTCAACTTACAGAAGGAGTCCAGCTATCTATCAATGAAAGACAAGGATTGCTATTTGTCAGTCCTTTCAGAAAGGCAAAAAAGATAGAATGGAATTAAGTTCTTGTTCTTTTTGTTCATTTGAGCAATCTCCTTGGTAATTTCTGGCACAGCAAAAATATAATACTAATGCAAATGTTTAGAAAAGAGAGAGGAGAAATGACAGTATGATTTTGGTCTTATCTCTCTCCACCAAATATACAGGAGACTGGCTACTATTCTACTTTCTCTGGAGCTATTGATTTTAGCCTCCTTATTCTTCAATTTACATGAGAGATAAAGAGAACAATAATTGACAACAAAGGCTCTAGTAAGAACACCACACTGGAAATGCTCAACCAGGTATTTAATTTTTCGAACCAAGATATGGCCAGCAATACAAGGTCAATCTTTGACATGTAGCAGCATCCACTGCAAGTGGTAAAACTTTAGCACTGGAAGTTGGCTGAGAAAAGTGATTTAAAAAAAAAATTAGATACTTTCCACCTGTTTCCAGAGTTTACATGCACTCTTCTTCAATCTATGCACAGATTCAGGGGGATTGATTTACTTTTTACTAAACTCAAATCTCCAGTAAGCACCAGTTACCAGATACAGCTTTTTTTTTTTTTTTTACAATTATTAAAAAGATATTCCGCTAGCTGAAACCTTTACTCATGGTGATCCACAAATTTGCCATTTATCTTTTGAATTTCTCTAATTCCTTAGAAAATGTTGCCTAGAGACCAGGAAAGGGGTATATGCAGAAGTTAATGCAGCTGCATCCTTCCTATAAAAATATCACTTAGCTGTGAAAGCTCAAACATGTATTACTGTTGTATCACTGGCAGCAAGTAAACTTCTGATATCTTAAGATCTTAATCTTCAGAAACGAAATGTTTCGTGTTCCATAATCTGGAGTTTGACATAAACTGAGAACCTAGGCACTTTGAAAAATCTTCTAGTGTAAGTAAATCTGAACAAAAGATACATAAACATAAAATCATTTTGAAAGAATCAAAATAGGAAGAAAATACACAAAAAAGAAGTTGAGAATATCCACTTATTTGTGTGACTAAACATAAAAAGGGATCTTAATGCAAAAATAATGCAAAACCTGAGATACTATGACTGATCTCTCTCATCTGGCATTGCCATCTTTTTTCCTGCTTTTCTTTTCTTTCCCAGCTTTCCTGAACAATCAACATCTATTCCCTATTTTTGTTATTTTATCTAGTTAATACTTTTTGTTTTAAAAGAGTTTCCAAAACAGCTACTTTCCAGATTTCCTCTCTTTTTAAGAAAAGTAAGTAGTTAAAGAGTTAATAAGAGTCCCAGCAAATAAGTCTCTTCTGCTCAGTTGCATTTGTCTCCCTATGCTGCAGATATTTTCCAAGCATCTTTCAAATAAAACTACCAAGTGAATCCTTATTGGTCAACAGGGCAATTTTCCTCTTCTGTGTTAAGCTACTCTCCACAAAAGAAAAGAAAACAAACAAACAAAAAAAACCAACCCACCCCCAAACCCCCAAAGTAAACCAGGCCAAACAACATACCACAAAATCCACTTGCTTAGAAATAGATTTTATATGCGTAATGCCATTTCTTATGTGCCATCATGATTGTCTTTGCTCCCCACTGAATTTGATTTTACACCCTCACTCTTAACTGGCAACTCATTGTCTGTTGCTTTGGAACCGCAATAAATCAGAAATGCTTTGCATTTTCTCAGCTTGGCACTGTTCTTCTTCAGTTCTGGAAAACTGCAGCCTCCATCCCAAAAGCATTTTGCTTGGCTTGCTAGCAGAGAGCTCTAGGGCAAAATATAAGATGTACTTGTGTACACTGCTTTATTTCTCTCTGCTTTTTATGCTCTTAGAGAAGCCGCCACAGTTCTGCATGTATAACGGACTGAAAGCTTAAAAGAACTACTTTTGAGATCTTACCCTATACGACCATGTATCTAACTCAAACTACCTTATGCTGTAGAGCAGAACAAAGCAATCTCATGTTTTCCAACCTAATCCTCATAGTTCACTTAGACCTGTAACAAATTTTGTATCACTATTGTTTCAGTACTTTCTTTTGAAAGAATGATATAAACTGAGTGGCAGCAAGGAAGGGACTGCACAAGAAGAGTTTCCCACTACTTACGGCCTTCTGTCGTATATCTGGAGAAATGTACCAAGGCAGAAGAAAATGTTGCAGAGAACACAGCAAGTTACTTTTTGCCATGGAAAAAATATTCTGTATGTCCTGTTGTACACACTTATCCACTGGCATTTTACCACTCCAGAATTCTTCTACTGAAAGCCTCATCCAAAAAATGAGTATGTGATACTTTTTAATCAGCAAAATCCCTTTTTTGGTATAATCATACTCTGAGTATTTACTCCAGTAAAAATGACACGCATACATTACTACATTTTACCCCCCACTCACTGAAGAGTCATCCTGTGGAAGAGAAAGTTGAATTTTATTCGCACAATCAACACTTCTTTTTTAGCATTGGAAATATGCAAGCTAGGAAAAAAATCAGCAGCATACCTCCACAACTGAGGCTGGATTTGTAATATTAAGAAAACCAATTCTCTTATTTCAATATTATATTTGTTCAGTCTGCTAGTTAAGCCATAAACCAACACAAAATATAGAAGTTCACTCTATTAAGGGCAGAATCCTTTAAAACTTATAAAGTATGACTCAAAGGATCTGGTTTTGCAGAGTGATCAAAATTCAGTGTGTAGACAGTGAAAGAGAAATAAGAGAAGGCAGAATGTTCACATGGTAGTATTGTTTTGGTAGTCTTCTAGGTCAAGAGTCACTTTTGTGCAGTACAAAAAATAATCAAGAACAATCAAAAATATCCTAGTAACTCAGGAAATAATGTCCTTTTCATCCTTCACAGTGTGCAGAGCAAAACCCAGCTCCTGAACATTCACAGTGGTATAGATTGAATGTCTTTGTCTAATCCCAGATGAGAACTAGCTTTATGCTAGAAAACAGAATTACAGAACCAGGTCTAATCTGATTCCTGAGTAGTGTTGTGTGAGTGTAGCTGAACAGTTGATTCCTTCAATACCTGTAGTAAGATATATTATTAAATTACTTTGAGGTATATTTTTATCTACCTTTTTTCTAATTCCTTTCTGTGGTAGAAAAATTATACTTAAATGCCTCAAATATGCTCCCTTTCTCAAAATAACATTCACTTACTACCTGAATTCATCACACTCTCTATATTTTCTTGTAGAAAAATGTTACATTAAAAAAACCCACAGAAATTCTGGCCTGATCTCACAGTAAATCCAGGGCTATAACAATTTCCTTTATTTTCTATTATATTCATTTTAATACTTCAAAATCTCTGCACATGTACTAGACTGTATTTGCAACGTGAGTTTGCTGTAACCTCTGGAATAGTGGTGCTGCAAAAAGAAAAAGAGTTCAGCAGACAAAGCCTGTATACATTTGCTACCACAACTGCACACACATTTTAATTTTCAGCTAACTATCCAACTCCTTCTGAATACGAACATGATCATTGAAAGGGAATTTGTGAGATACCCAAGGGATCAACTATACTCGGTTTCTATCAGTGTTGTCAGAGGCATGAGAAAATAGTAAATTTAAAAATTAGTCTTCAGGTAGCATTCAGAATTGGTAGCAAAGCAAGAAAGAAGAAAAAACAAGGCGATGTACTTGACTACTTTGCGTTTTCCAAGCTCTGGAGCATTTTTCATTTCCCCTATTTATATATTCACAGGGGAACAGAGGAGGGCAGGATATTTATCTACCTGCAGGGATTCCCCTTCATAAACCAAAAATTCCTAGATTAGAACAAAGTGTTTAATTTCTGTCCTGTTTGGAGGAAGAAATAGTAATTTTCAGTTTCTCTCACTTCATTGCTGAGAGCTGTAAGAGCCAGAGGTATTGTGACTGAAATGCTTTTTAATCTATCTGCTGTAAGAGTGATGGTGACTGTTTCACCAATATGTTAAAGAGCACGCCCTGTACAGGAGTAATTCTAGGCATGTTCTGGTATATCTTCTGAGAATTATTCCAGACTTCATGAACCTTTATTTTCCAATGAAGGAAGAAATCCACCACACGCTAGTAGAGCAGAAATTTTAAATGAGAATGGAAATCTCTCCTTATCACATTGTTAAATGTAATTTTATAGAGGTGTTTATGTGAATTTCATGAGATTTTCCAGAGTGATTTTACTTTTAAAGTTACGTATGAAGATAGCTTTTAGCTCCTTCATAGAACTAATCATAGACAAGTGCTCTTCTGGGAAGGCCAACAAGTCACAAAGACTGACTCCAACTTCTGAGTTGCCCACAGAGCCAGAATTCTAGCTAGACAAGACCGCTGAAGAGACCAGCTGGGAAGATAAGCTGACATCCAGCCACCACTGCTTCAAAAACTCATTCCCAAGCTGGGCATCTGTACCCTGCTGCTGCCAAAATCACCCCGTGAGTGGCCGCAGCAGTCAGCTCCAAGGATGAAGCAGATGGAAGAGGAGCTCAGATCCAGTGCAGCCTGCCAGCAGCAGAAATGCTTGCTGCCTGACGAGTGATATCATTGTGCCTGCATACACACGCACCAGCGTGCCCTAAAACCGTACTTCAGCTGACAAAGTTCAAGTACTGCCAAACACAGCTACGCAC